TTTGAGATTTATGATTCGCAATAGACAACAGCCCCATGCAGCAGAAAATTGTCTATGCAGGTTCAAGCGTTGGTATAGCCTACATAAATCGGAAGCCCCCATTTTATTTCAATTTAAAGATCAAAACATTTTTTTGAATTGTTTTCCCTTGCTTGCATTTTTAAACATTTTCCTTTTCCTTACGTCGTGACTGAGGTTATTAACGATATTTTACTACTTTATTTTCTGATTGTTCCTTATCCACATTATTTTTAATGCGTCGCATTCCCGTGATATAATTTGTAATTTTTTCATCGCTCAACTTTACATTGTAATTCTAACTTTCTCGTTTGGTTTTTCTATCCCTCCTTTTAATTGCTATTGAACACAAATACCCGTAATAATAATTATTATTATTATCCCCTCTTTAAATTACGATTACCTTGTGCATACTTATAAAACCATTACACTAAATGGAGCAACAACAACAACAACAATGGTATCGTAAAACTGCAACAGCAATTGGTTTGTACAACAAACCATGAATGTGACGAGTATCTCAATTTCAACATTCATTCCGGAAAAATATACCCTGGAAAAATAAAACGAATCATAATAATTGGTCTCGATATAAACACATGCTTAGATTGCAAAATATTGTCCATTTTGCAAAGAGGGAATAATGTGGAAGAGTACGGAATAGAATCAAAAATGTACATTAATATGTGCATGTGTTAGTGTATCAGTATGCAGACACAGAAGTTCGAATACAAATCAATTAATTTTATTAGTTTGAGAAATATTCTCAGCATTTCTTCTTTCTTACGTTTGTGTGGATGTTGGTTATTCTTTTTTTAAACGTTGTTTTTTTTTCTATTTTCATTTTTGTTGTATTCTTTTTACATTTGGACATTACCATGGCCACTTTGCTATAACCATGCATGTGTGAGTGTGCTTGTTACTATGTTTCGGTTTTTCATTGGAATATAATAAGCCAATTTAAATTCACATCGTATCTGATAGATATTTTGTTTGAAAATAGGGTTGATCGAAAACAGTGTCCATTTGTGGGACAGTTGCGAGAAAATAGGGGGCAATGTTATAGTTCTCCTACCAGCTATTATAATATGTAAAGTTCCAACAAAATCGGACAAACAGTGTGAGATAAAAAACTGCAACAAAGTCAAATGCAATAATTTTTACATTTTTTTATTAAAATTTGATGAAATGAAAGCAAAAAATGTGGGAATAGCATCAAATTTTAGAATATGTTTAGTTTTTTGAAATTGGTCACCTTTGGCACGAATTATGGCCTTCAAATGGTCAATGAAACCGTCACACGCTACCCGAATGTTGCTCTGCGCTATTTTGGCCCATTCCCGGCGAAGCTCTGGCTTGAGGTGGTCGACACTTTGGTATTTTTTAGTGCCAACCTTGCTTTCCAAAATACTCCAGACACAATAGTCCAATGGATTCGTATCTGGATATTTTGGTGGCCATTGTGCGCTGGAAATGAAAAAATTATGAAATGATGAAAAAAACTGCAACCAACTTTAGACTGCTGTCATTCCTAAGCCACTCGCCTGACAGCTGTTAAAATTATTCTAGTGACATTATATTGTCTACAAGCGTAAAAAAGGATTTTGGTGAGAATTTTCCAAAAAAAAAAAAAAGATATTCGTCATAGAATTCAAGCGTGATAGTGTGAGTTCTTTATATTCGGCTGAAAAACCGCAAGTGGCTATCGTTAGAGCACTCCAGCATTTAAATGTGAATAGAGCTTTTGTGTCTCGTATCATTGCTCGTTACCGTGATACTGGTAGCGTAGCCCGACGTCAAGGAAGTGAACGTAAGAAAACAGCAACATCAGCAGAAATGGTTCGAAAAGTAAAGAAGCCACTTGATCGAAAACAGCATCGCAGTGGCAGAAAAATGGCTCGTGAGCTGAACGTATCGCAATATTCCATTCCGCAAATATTAAAAAATGAGCTCGGGGTAAAACGATTGAAATTTCAAAAGGTACAAGAACTTAGACCACAACAGAAAGAAAATAGACTCAAATGAGTGAGGTTCCCCGCTTCATTTTCAGCGAGCAATGGCCACCGAAATCTCCGGATACCAATTCGTTGGACTGTTGTGTCTGTAATATTTTGGAAAGCAAGGTTGGCACTAAAAAATACCAAAGTGTCAATCGCCTCAAGCAAGCGCTTCACCGGGAATGGTGAAAATAGCGCAGAGCAACATTCGGGCAGCGTGTGACGTTTTCATTGGCCGTTTGAAGGCATCCGATGTTTCATCCGATTTGAGTTCCTTACACCACAAGAATGATATTTGGTACCAGATAACTTATGGAGCTCAAAAATATATCTGCCAAATGTTATCGAGATTGAATAAGTTTTTGGATAGAACTCCCATATATAAATTTATCCGATAACAGGTTTCTTGTGAATCAAATGGCTAATATCAGCCCAAATGGACTGCATTTTTACACTTCCAACGGAATTCAGCCTAGAAGCAAGTACCTAAATTTTGGTGAAATAGCCATAGCTCCCATATATATGTTGCATATTATTTGGTGCTAAAGTCCCTCACATGCGTAATATGTACTCCACCAACAGATATTTGATACCGGACATCATATACAGCTCGAAAATACCTCTGCCGGATCGGTTCAGATTTTTATATAGCTTCTATATACATATTCTTCTATTCTATATATAATCTTGATCAGCATCAAATTCTATGTCGATTTAGGGATGTCCACCCGACTGTCCCTCTGTGGAAATTACTCTAGCTTCCGAACGAAATGAAGTAGGTGGATGAAATTATACTCAAATATATATTATGTCTGCAGGACTTTTGGTATTGAAAATTAGCCATGTAGAAGAATTTATAATGGATTTAATATTTTATTTTTCTAAATTGCCCAATTCGTTCCAAATGGCGGAGGGTATTCAAAGTTCGGCCCGGCCGAACTTACAGCTTTTTTACTTGTTTTATTTTCAACCGAGATTTTCCATTTTGTGAACCTTGTCCGGTATATCTATTGCTCCAATAAATATTTTTATATCCTCCACCTTGGAAAGGAGGATATATTAACTTTGTAATCCCGTTCGTAACATCCCGAAATATTCGTCGTAGACCCCATAAAGTATATATATTCAAAATCGGCATAAAATTCTAAGTCGACTTAACGATGTCTGTCTGTCTGTTGAAATCACGATACAGCCCACATTATTTGATGTAGAGCGTCAAAATGTAGTAGAACAATTTGTATCGTGTCTTTTATGGTTGGTATTGAAAATGTATATATATCCGTCCACTTTTTGGTATAGTCCCCATATAACGGTCCTTCCCGATATTCGGTATTTTGATGGTTTTTCTCACATTTTTTCACGGATTTGTCTAAAAGTTGGTGTTTGTTGGTCATAATGGGTTCTGGCTGCGGTGGCGAAACATTGTATGTATATATCCCCGTTTTGGTATAGCTCCCATATAAAAGTTTCTTCAGATATTCGGTATTTTGATGATTTTTGCCACATTTCTTCGCGGATTTGACTTAAAATTGGTATTTGTGTGTTCTAATGGGTTCTAGCTCTGTTACCGAAATATTGTATGTATAGGTTCACGTTTTTCTATAGCCCCCTATAGCGGTACCCCCGATATTCGATATTTTGATGACGTTTGCGACAGTATTTGTGGGTCACAATGGGTTCTAATGTTTCCTTTACCCTAAAGTGGAGAGTACTAAAGTTTGGTCCGGCCGAACTTAATGTTTTTTACCTGGTAATATTATACTTATCAACCTCATATCATGCACTACGCACAGAAATGTTATTTGGTACTAGGGGCACAAAAGCCTCATTCAAATTTTTTGAAAATCGATTCAGAGTTGGATATAGACCCTAAATTCATGATACGCATTCAAATAAGGTTCATAATTGTTATGATCTACTTTATATAAATTCGCAATATAAACCTTATTTTTGTTACGGGAGCTCTATCGACCCAGCCCCATTTTTTTATCCATCATCCATCTAATCATTTATTAGATGGAGGTACCAAAGTAGTTTTTTTCCCCATACATTTCGCTCCACCCCAATATAAATGCAATAAATGCTTTTGTATAATTTGTGTAAGCTTTCATAACTGATAATATTCATATAAACGAGAAAAGCAATTGAGAGAGAAAGAGAAAAAAAAAATAGAAAAGTTTCAAATCTAAAATTGATGTAAAAAAATTTTAATTGGTATTCGATTTGGTTCTTCGATTCACATATCAGCATACACCCAGACACACACACAGACTTTTCATTCGAAATAAGCCAGATCGTAAGGCCCATGTAGGAACAAATTCAAATATGAAACATTAATTTTCATTGCCAGGTAATTGCTGATGCTGTAAGATAATGTAATTGGAAATTGACACAGGTATTTAATATAACCATAATACATAAATTATGGTTAGAGAGAAAAAAAAATAGGGAGAAAAAATATGACTAAATTATTATGAAACGAAATATGTTTAAAAGCCTAGAATGAACATGCTTTCACATATTGCGAGGAAAATGCGAAGCAGATGATATCAATATACTAAAATACTCAATACGAAACGGCTGAAGCTGTGGGTCAATGTTCGTGTGTAGGGATATGATAAGGCTAGGTTTTTAGAAATTCGACATAAGTGTTCTACACAGAGAAAAAAATTAACCTTATACAAGGTTAGCTTAACCATAAATAAACATGATTTGGAGTCTACGTTATGTAAGGTTAATTTAAACATTTTCTTGTTGACTGGTATTTAAAAATAATCATTGTTAATTTAGCTATTCCATGATTGACTTTTTTAACCACGAAAATTGTTGATATTGAAAAAAAAATTGTTGTTTTAACAATGCACTGTTAAATTTTTGTAACCATGAGAATTGTTAATAATAACATTTCATAGTCAGTTTGTCTAAACAGTTCATATGATAATTTTTAATAATAAATTAACATTTGTTTGAATAAAACAAGAAAAATGTAATTTTTACAAGTTTATTTATTATTTATTTATTAATACCGCATATTTCTAAAATATATATATTTCCATTACAAATTGTATGTATATTTAAGGGAGGGCTGGTAAAGAAAGATATATGTTTAATATAAATTTTATTTTTTAACGCCTTACCGAGTGATTTTAAATTATATTCCTCAGCCATTGTGAAAAAAACTACAAAACGCCAAACACCGACTGCAAAAACAGAAGAAGAAACTAGTAGTTAATAAAAGCAAATAGTATTGTCACAACTTACCAAAAATGTACGCACGAGCACCCAAAAAAAAGACACCAGAGAAAAAAACAACTGTGAAGAAAAAACAAAAAGATATACATAAATATGAACACTGTCGCTTCAACAACAACAACAACGTACATTTGGTGACAAATGCATACGCTAATGTACGTCGTAGCAGCCACAAGCAAAGACAAAAAGAACACATATGTATGAATAAACACTCACACATTATTTCTCTCCTCATTTTTGCTTGTCGCTGCATATACGTTGTTGTTGCTTGTTTTTTTCATGTATTACCGTTATTTTTGTTTCTTTATTGTAATTTATAGTTTATTTGATAGACAAATCTGATACAATTTGAATATAGCAATAACACATTACTATGTTGAAATAGTATCAGGGTTTTCTATTAAAACAAATACAAATTACAATCAAATATATTTGTTAATTTCACCAGCTTTTACTTACCTTTATACCAAGCACTATTCCCACGAGCACGTGCACTACTCCCTTGCACCACTTAACACCAACTAAAGAAGTGATTGTCTATTTGATCTTTCTTACACATATTCAGACCACAGAAAGAGATTCGATAAAGAGGAGGAGGGGGAATATGACAGTCACATTCGTTGCAACTTCGTATATTGTAATATTGAACTTCGTCAAACACAAAGCAGTTCAAAATTGTTGACCACAACAGAGCCGAAGGCACTTTAAATTTTTATGTATCTCTCACATTTTCCGTCTCTCTCAAAAAACAACAACCTTATACAATATTAATTAAACTATTTTTCATCTACATTTGACCTTATAGGGTAAGTGTACCAGTAGTCGGCACTTTTAGGATTTTCGCGTTTTCAATCGCTCACCATTCTGGGTGGAACTTTTCAATTATTAAAAAGTTAATTTATTCAGATTCGAAATTTTGTATAATTTTTTAATAATAAATAAAGTTTTAATAACTTTTCATTAAATTTCATAAATTTGTAGTTTTATTAAAACAATGCTTTTTTGCCAGTAGTCGGCACCGCTTGCCAATTGTCGGTATGGCATGTTCCAACAGTCTGCATACCAATTTTTTTGTAAGAATAATTAATAATAATAATAAATTAATTCATTAAAATATAATATTTTTGTTTAGTTAAACTGATTCGACGTCTTTATTGTACTTCTCTTAAGAATATGGATTGTTGAGGACATTCACAGACAAAAATTTAATTTTTATTAGAATAAATCATCTTTTCTTAGCGAAATTTTACACAAAGGTAGCTGACAATATATTTGAAGTAAACAAAATATATTTAGTTAGAATAGTTTAATTTATTTGGGCTTAAAAATAAAAAGTGCCGACTACTGGGACATGCCGAACTTAGGCACACTTACCCTATAACGTTATTTTGTGTTTGTAATCTCAAACATTTACCATGAAAAAATTAACCATGCACATGGTTAAAAAAGTCATTGTATTTTCGGCTCTGTGTAGAAGTACTAAAATTTATTAAAAACAAGTTAAATAGTATTAGTCGGTTTTGCTTACAGAAGTCAATGTTTGATTATTTAAATATAGTTTGACTTCTGTTATGATTATTGAAATTGATGACCCTTTATGAAGTAGGTTCCGAAGGAATGGGCCAATATTGTCCATTTCGTATTGGACCTAACCAAATATGATACAAAATATTGCGACATGCCAGGTTGGAGCTATATTGGTTACATCCTTCACTTTATATGAGATACAGTGGTGGCCATATCATATGCAACTGAAATCTAACCTTTACCAAAAACCGTGAAAAATTTTTCTGAAAACAAAATTATGCAATTATTTTTTTAAATATTATTTTTTATTGCTTGTAGTTTAAGAAAAAAAAACATATACTCCATAGATATTCAATTCATTTATAAAAAAAATTAGAAAAAGATATTCAGTCTTATTATGAAGTGGCCAAAACATATGCAACTAATTAAATCGAGCTCAGTAAAGTGCAAATAAAGTTAATATTTTGTTGCAAATCCGTTGTTGTTGATTACAGCCTGACATCTTCGAGGCATTGACGCTATAAGATTGTCAATGACGCTTTTTGGGATTGATTTCCAGGCATCTTCCAGCCGGCAAAATAAAACATCTAAACTTGTACAATTTTCTCGATCAATTTTTTTGTTTACGATTTCCCACAGGTTCTCTATTGGGTTTAAATCTGGGGATTGGGGTGGCCATTCCATTACCGTAACTCTATTATCGGCAAACCACGATTTGACCACCTTCGAAGCGTGTTTGGGGTCGTTGTCCAGTTGAAAGACCCACCGCAATGGCATATTATATTCTGCGAATGGGAGCATTACCCTTTGCAATATGTCTTTATACATAAATCTATCCATAATACCAACAATTCTATGTAGGGGGCCAACTCCAGCACCAGAAAAACAACCCCACACCATTATATTGCCCCCTCCATGCTTGACCGTTTTTTTACAGTAACGTGCTTCGAGTCGTTTTCCTTCTGGTCGCCTTACATAGCACATGCCATCGCTACCAATGATGTTAAATTTGGACTCATCACTAAATAATATAGTTCTCCATTTACTCTCTGTCCAATTTATATGAGCTTTAGCAAATTCCAAACGCTTTTTCTGGTTTCGCTTCGATATCAGTGGTTTTTTTGCAGGACGTCTTGCGCAGAGGGAGGCTTGTAAAAGTCTTCTACGGATGGTGCGAGCAGAAACTGGCAACTGAAATCTTTCCACTATCTTAGAGGAAGATATAAATGGGTCTTTTTTCACGTGTCTGATTATTAATTTGTCCGTCCGATCGCTTGTTTTTCGACTTCGACCACCACGGTGTATAACAGAGACTTGTGAATTTTTTTTGTAATTATTAATGATGCGCGATATGGAGCTTTTATGAACGGTATATTTCTCGGCAATACATTTCTGTGATAATCCAGAAGAATACGCAGTCACAATTCGTTGTCAGAGCTCAAATCCAAATTTATCGCGTGCCATTTTTGACCAAACTCTATTGTAGCTTTGTGAAAAAACAACGCAATAAAAATGTGAAGGTAGCTTTAAATCTCTTTACGCAGTGTCTCTAGCTAATAATAAGAAGAACAATAGAACAAAGGAAATTGTAAAAATGCCGTTATTTAAACCAAATATATAAAGTTGCATATGTTTTGACCACACCAAATTTCATATTTGTCAACAAAACACCTGTGAACATAGAGATATAAACAAAAGCTGCACATTTTGATAATAATTTGAAATCGTAAGAACGTATTGACTATAATTAACCCATCTTTATATACTTCGTTGTGAAATTTACAAATTTATATAGCCTTTTAACGTAGATGAATCTTAGTTGCATATGATATGGCCACCACTGTATGTGTATTTAACCTCATCTAATGCACATAAAAGTATTGGTATAGGCAAAATTACAAGAAAATAGAACATTTATATCGACTTTTATGCGAAATCATAAATTCCACATTCACCTCAGGTTTTTGGTTGAGAGAAATATTTAGATATAGCAAGTTGTAAAGAATCAGCAACTTATTTCTCAAATTATGACAGATAAAAGTATGGAAAATTGTGAACTTTCATGGGTGAGATAAAAAAACTGCAACAAAGTCAAACGCCATCATATTTTCATTTTGAAAGAAAAAATGTGGGAAATAGTATTAAATTTTAGAACAAGTTTAGATTTGTTCGAATCGGTCACTTTTGGCACAAATTATGGCCTTCAAACGGCCAATGAAACCGTCACACGCTCCCGAATGTTGCTCTGTTGAGGTGATCGACACTTTGGTATTTTTAGTGTCAACCTTGTTTTCCAAAATACTCCAGACACAATAGTCCAACAGATTGGTATCCGGAGATTTTGGTGGCCACTGTGCGCTGGAAATGAATTTTGTAAGCATTCTTGGGTGGCGCGTGCTGAGTACGATGGTGCCGAGTCCTGTTGGAGTGTCCAAGGTCAGCGCCCAAAATGCACCCTACAGAATATTTTCGCGATATATTCGATAATATTCGGCATTTATTCTGATGCCTCGGTCGATTAATACAAGCGGAGAGTGACCATCGGCTGTTATGGCGGCCCACACCATCACCATGGCCGGCGCTTTAGTTCTGGTGGCCAACCGAAGGTGCACATTTTCAGCTGACTTCTTTGGCAAGTAAACACGATCATTTTGTTTTTATACAAACTGCTGGACAACGAATGTTTTCTCATCGGACAAAACCAAATTTGGCAGTTCACCACTTTCGACCAAGCGAAGTAACTTTTTAGCTCTTTTGAGTCTAGTTTCTTTCTGTTGCGGTGTAAGTTCTTACACTTTTTGGAATTTCAATGGCTTTACCCCGAGCTCATTTTTCAATATTTGCAGAATGGAATATTGCGATATTTTCAGCTCACGAGCCATTTTTCGGCCACTGCGACACGGGCTTCGATCATGTCGCTTCTTTACTTTTCGAATCATTTCTGCTGATATTGCTGTTTTCTTCCATCCACTTCCTTGACGTCTGGCTACGCTACCAGTATCACGGTAACGAGCGATGGTACGAGACACAAAAGATTTATTCACATTTGAATGCTGGAGTGCTCTAGCGATAGCCGCTAGTAGTTTTCCAGCCAAATATAAAGAAATCACACTATCACGCTTGAATTCCATCACGAATAATTTTTTTCTGCAAAATTCTCGCCAAACTGCTTTAGTACGCTTGTATACAATATAATGAGCTGTCACTGTTATAATTTGAGTAGCTGCTTAGAAATGAGAGCAGTCTGAAATTGAATGCAGTTTTTATACCCTACAACACTATGTGTTGGGGGTATTATAAGTTTGATTGGGCCAGAATTTATGTAACACCTCGAAATATTGGTTTCCCATATAGGAAAGTATATATGGATCTTCCTAGCTCGCCGAGCTGAGTCGATCTAGCTATGTATGTCCGTCCGTCCGTCTCTCCGTCTGTCCATGTTAATTTGTAATCACTCTACAGGTCGCAATTATGGCCCTTCACGAAATTTAGAATGGAGGTGGGGCTAGGGTCAGAATAGAACCCTATATCTTTTGGAGATGATCGCATTATATTTAGGGGTCGAAATGGACCAAAAACTGAAAAAATTCCTGTGGAATTCTTTCGAGTATCTCGTCTATATAAACTGTATCGTTTATTATAGTGTTGTAGGGTATTCAACGGTTGGCCCCGCTCGACTGTAGCCTTTGCTTACTTGTTTATTTACTTGTTTTGTTATTGTCTAGAAAATAAAAAAATATACTTTTGCGAGTACATCATTGATTTTTGGTACATGAGCTAAGAAACAAAACACAAAAAAAAAAAAAAAAAAGTAGTAAAGAAAGTTTTAAAGACGGGCGGGGCCGACTTTTTGATAACTTACACCACTTTGCTAATTTAGTAGAGCTCCACATAACAATTAGAAGTTTTTATGGGAGAATTCAATCATACAAGCTATGATTATAATTATAATTTAAAGTTCAAAGGACTAAACATGCCGAA